AGAGTGATGGTTAACTTTACAGAAGAGATTAAGATAGGAATCTTTAAGTAGCAAGTGACTACAAGTAAATTGCTTTACAACAAATGTGCTGCCTCTTTTTTTTTTTTTTTTTTTATACCACCCTTGAATTGGAAAGACTATATCTATTATCCTTTTACTTCTAAGGATTTTAGGAATTAGTTCTGGGCAAAAATAAGGCGTTCTAGCAGTAAAACCTAGAAATGGGTTTCTAGCATTTTCCTTAGAAACTTCCTTTTATCCAACAGTATGCATTATTGCAGTCATTTCCATGACAGATACGTTTTATTCTTACGGTGTTAGCTGGTAAGTGACTTTTCCAGCTTTTGGAGACAGGCAACAGGTAGCCAGCCTGTTATGGTGGCACAGACAGGAGGACTTAGCTCTGGACATAGTTTTTGTACCTCCTAATGGCTGGTTGGGTGACTTGGCTTTTTGTGCCTCATCCTCCCTGGTTGAGAAGTTGCATCCTCTTACACTGAGTGAGGTCTTGAATTCAGGGGCGAAGGAGCCTGCAGCCAGAGCTGAGGCTCATCTTAGTCTTACATCTTATGGAAGCTCATTTTTGTCCTACATTTTATAGGGGAGCATGGGGTGTGTTGTGTGACTGTCATTCCCTTCTGTTAGGTTTGAAGGTCTTTGGGGGGAGGCTGATGACTTTCAAGACTGAAACGCAGAGAAAGCCCTTGGGACTTTTTCAGAGACTTCCAACAGGAGTTTCCAAAACCCACTTGCTACCGTTCACTGGTTCAAAACTATACCGGGAAATGTCTTCAGAGCTCAGCACAGTGGTCTGAGAGAACTTGAGCATAGAATTGGCTCTCAATAAAGATTTATGGAGTGTTGGTGGCTGCATGAAACACACACATCCCCCACCCCCACCCCATGCCCACCTGCGGAGGCGGCTCCAGTTGGCCTGTCCCACACCGTGCTCTGGAATGTGCTGATCTTCCTTCCCAAAGAAGTGGACATTGTGAAGGGTGTTACTATTAGTAGGGCAGCTTTGGCTCTGATCTGTCAACTCTCCTTCACGCCAGGCCTTTATTGAGCAACGACAAACTCAACGCGGTAGTCCCTGTGGTAGTCAACTCGGCTGACCACCCTCTCCTTGAAATGTTTTCTTTGGCTGCTGTGACCCCATGCTTGCCTGGTTTGGGTCTTACCTCTCCAGCCATCTTCTCGGTTTTCTCTGTTGATCCTTTTTTTGAGCTTTAAATATTTGATTCCTCAAAGCTCGGTCCTAGATATTTTTCTCTCTCCTCCTTTCTTCTTTCTTTGTGCTCTTTTTTATTTTCCTAGATAATCTCACTAATTCTCACCCATTTAGCAAAAATTCTAAATTTAACGTCTAGTTCGCACTTCTCTTTTGAGCTCTAAATACACATATTTCACTATCTACCTGACATTTCCACTGGAAGTCTCACAGACTTCCCAAATTCAACAGAGCAAATCCTCCCCTCCTCCAGTTGGTCCCTGTATGTTTACTGTGGTCTTCCTCACCTGAATAAGTTTCATTGCAGCCCATCTAATTTCTTAGGTCAGAAGCGTGAGAATGATTCTCATCATCTCCCTCTTCCCACTCTTCTGAAGTTCAAACAGTAGTTAAGTCCTGTCAATTATATCTTTCATATTTCTCAAATCCCCACCTTAGTTTAATCATCCTGTGTCTCTCCTGGTAGCTGCATCAGCTTCCAAACTAATTTCCTGTCAACATTTCTTGCATCTCTACACTATCCCTCCCCACCCCCCATTTTCCTGCCTCCTTTGTTCCCCAACCCTCTCAAATGTTCTCCTTAGCAGTTCCTCCCTCCCTCCCTCCCTCCCTCCCTCCCTTCCCTCCCTTTCTTCCCCCCCTCCCTCCCTTCTTCCCTTCCTTCCCTTCCTTCCTTCCTTCCTTCCTTCCTTCCTTCCTTCCTTCCTTCCTTCCTCCTTCCTTCCTTCCCTCCTTCTTAATGATTTCAGTTTTTATTTGTGTTTTCCTTATACAAAAAGACCTTTTCAACTTTTTATTTTGAAATAATTATAGCATCATAGAAAGTTATTAAGTATATTACAGAGAGGTCACATGCACCCTTTAACTAGTTTCCTGCACTGGTAACATCTTACATAATTATAGTTCAATATCATCAATTGAGCCTGGCCGGTGTGGCTCAGTGGTTGAGCATGGACCTATGAATATGGAGGTCATGGTTCGAGTCCCAGTCAGGGCACCTGCCCAGATTGTGGGCTCAATCCCCAGTGTGGGGTGTGCAGGAAGCAGCCAATCTACAATTCTCTCTTATCATTGATGTTTCTATCTCTCTCTCCCTTCCTCTCTGAAATCAAGAAAAAAATATATTTTTAAAAAACAGTCAATTGACATCGATGCAATTGCAGACCTTATCCATCTTTTATTGGTTTTACATGCACACACTGTGTACTTACGTGTGTGTATGTATAATTCTCTACAATCTTACCGTATCTGTAATCACCACTACAATCAATATTCAGAACTGCTTCATCACCCCAAAGAGCTCTCTTGCTAAAGTACGTTCCTTTGAAACACAGTGTGATCCAGTCCATGCCTTGCTTAAAACTCTTTAATGATTTTAAAGCCCCAAATCCTTAAATAAGGGATACCAACGCCTGTGTAATCTGGCTCCAGCAACATTGCCAGCCACCTCCTGCCTTTCTCCGCTTGCTTGCCAAGCCTCTGCTCACTAGCCTTTCTTTTCCTTAATTTGCCAAGTGCTTCCTCTGCTCAGGGCCTCCACAGCTGCTGTGCTCACCAGGAGCTCTCCCCTCTCCCATGCAACTAACGCCTCACCTCTCAGGAAGTGTTTCCTTGGCATCTCGGACTAGGTTAGGCTCTCCTATGGCTTGTTTTCATTGCCAATTATGATTTTCCTTCATGGCACCTATCACACAGTTGTAAACAAATAGATATGAGTATGGCTCATTAATTTGAGTTCTCTCTAATTAGAGGTGTTGGGGGTATCTTGCTCACCACTGTATCTTTTCTGTCTAGTGCAATGGCTGGCTTAACAGTTGCCCAATAAATAGTCCTTCATGAACAAATTCATGAATAACTATTGTAACCTGGCTGGTTGTGGCTGGGGTGTGGCCTGAGCCCATAGAACTGGGCAGAGTCAACTTGCTTGTATGGTTACCTGCTCTATGAACTCATCTGCAACCTTCCCAAGGGTGTCCTGTCTGAGACCCCGGGCATTTGTGGCCCATACCACTCAGAATCTCAAACTGGTATTTCCTCTCCTATTCCAATCCTGGTATTCTCTCTGAGAGATTGGAATAGGAATGACCCTGGCCACTGTTCCTCAATAGATCTTTGAGATGCTTTATCAACTGGATGTTCATCAGGCTTTTAATGCCGGGCTTCTTTCCCTCCGGGGTCACTGCCAAGGTGTCAGTTTGAGAGGGTTATTAGTCCAGAGCGTGGGAGTCTCTACACTGGATGGCTCCTGAGAAGTCCTTGAAAAGCTTTTAGATGAGCCTTCTCCTCGATACTTCTACCTGCTCTTTGCTAAGTGTTCCCCACGTCCCCATCAATGAATTATTTCCACCCCCACTCTTACTCTCTCAGAGATGACAGTGTGGCTTGTATTTGTGGAGCCCCAAATTTGAAGGGTTCTTATGTTGACTGAATAGACAGTATGTGCCCCAAATGACCCTGGTGTCACTAGCTCTGAGGACTTGGAAGGGAGGAAATGGGAGTCTCCTGCTGGGATGGCTTTGCCAAGGGGTGGTGGTACCACATGGCGTCCTGACCATCTGTGGAGGGCACTGGGTTGGTGAAAGTAACTCTAATTAGCACCCCCACCCTTGGTCTCTAGTGTCCTCCTTTAGAAGTACATAATAACTCATGTGAGAGAGGCAACACAATGCCCTATATGGTGGGTTGGGCAGCGCTGGAGCTCTGGAGAAGGAGGAACCCTCAGCAGTAGGCAAAGCTGTCAGTTCTTTTGTGATAGAGTCAGTAATGGGCTTTGCCCTGAATGCTCTGCGCAGACTGACAGCACTGGGGGACCTGAGAGCATCATCCAAGCTTCCTTTCCCTGCCAAATAGAAGGTCAAAGGTCCTCACATTCTGTGGCTCAGACCTGTCCTCTCACTGCCCGAGGGTCTCTTTTGGGTGAGCTATGGCTGACAACAGAGTCCAGCTCTGCAGGGCAAGCCTCAGAATTGGTCCATTGGGGCTGTGAGCTCTAAGGTGAGAGCTTAATGTCTCTCCCCGATCCTGCTATTGGCTTGGCTAATGTGATACTTGGGATGGAGAAGAGAGTTAAAGCCAGTGACCAGTCGTTTTAGGATAGACCTGGCCATTATGTACCCTTTGCTGTGATGCTGCACTTCTTGGCCCTCCCTGCTAGGCCACGTCCCCCTATAGCCCCTGGTACGTGCAGGCGTAATCTCCTGGGCATGGGCAGGGATGCTTTGGATAACAGTGCAAGGCTTTGCAGAGTCCCTGAGCTCTGTCCCTGGAGTCCTCATACCCGCCTCTCCTGTGCCCTGAGGCAGTGTGGTGAACACCTTTGTGGATCAGAAGGCCCAATTACAAATAGCTTTTGTGTGTCGCTCTTGCCATAGTTGATACTGGGGCCGGGAGATAATGCAGGTGACTCTCACAGTGCAGCCTTGTGCCATGTGCTATGCAGCGGTCTTTCTGTTTCTCTCTGATCACCACTTGCTGTCCTCGTAACTGGCTACACCTCTAAGGGGAAGTGCTCTTAGGGCAAGAGGATTTGGGTGGCATCTATCCCTGGTGGAAGGGTTAATGCCCATCTCTCTCATTAGGCCTTGATCTGATGTAATTGTGGGTAGTGGGGAGTTTTGGGAGGGCCCCATCTGGGTCCCTAGTTGTTTCCCAATACATGCTACCCTCACCCCCTCTCCAAGTTGGGCATAAATGTGTTTTCAGCTAGTGGTGTTGAGGGGTGACAAGTCAGACCCTCTGGCCCTAATGCTGCCATTTCTGCTTCCTTTAGGTCACCCAACCTGCCTGCAGTTCACCCTGAACATGACTGAGGCTGTCAAGACCTACAAGTGGCAGTGCATAGAGTGCAAATCCTGCATCCTCTGTGGGACCTCGGAGAATGATGTGAGTTTGGGGCCACCACCAGGAGGTAGAAGTCCATGGGGCTGGGAGTCCTTCAAGGGGAGAAGAGGAAAGCAGGACTCTTGTAATTCGGGTCCCAGAGAAAGGGCCAGTCATGACCTTCCCCTTCTCCTTTGACCCCAGAACACTTGGGACCCTTGTACCACAGGGACCTTGGTTCCCCTCAGGAATAGATTATATAAAAAAAAGGCAGAATAAATGCTTAATTCTTTCCCTTTTTTATTAGTTTTCAAATATAACAGGGTGGGTTCAACACCTATTCATGCTGAAAACACAAAAGAAAATAGAACTTGTGGGATACTTTCTTAACAAACTTTTTTTTTTTTTTTTTAACCTTAGAATGAAAGCCATTATCTTACTTATGGGGAAACACTAGAGGCATTTCTACTAAGATTAGGAACCAGATAAGGATGCCCATTATCTCTACTTTTAGAGATATTAGCTAAGGCGGTTAGACATGAGAGACCAACTAGAAGCATATGATGGTAACAAAGTAGTAAAGCTCAATTTCTTCTTTTTTTAAATTCTATTTCATAAGCTATAATAGTATATCTGAAAAACCCAAGAAAATGAATGACAATGCTAACTCAAATATTAGAGTAGCAAGATATAAAATTACCATGCAAAATTAATAGCCTTTATATGCACAAATAATAGCAAATAATTAAGTTAGAGGACATAATAGTAGAAAAACTCTACTTAAAATAGGAACAAAGAAAAATACGTAGAAATAAGGTTAATAGTAAATGTGTAAAACATCTGAAGAAAAATTTAAAACACCTTTGAAAAGATACAGAAGTAGTCTTGTACAAATGAAAAGGCATTGTGTGATCTTAGAATGAGTCAACATTATAAAGATGTCAGTTCTTCCTAAGTTAATTTACAAATTTAATTCAAGCCCAGTAAAAGCACCAGGTTTTTTTTTTTTAAATGGAACTAGACAAGTTGATATTGAAGTTCATATGGAAAGAAGCATGCAAGAATAGCCAAGAAAACACTGAAAAAAAAAGTTTTGAGGGGAGACTAGCCCTACGAGGTGTTAAAACATACTGTAAAGCCTTTATCATTAAAATAATACAGACAAATAGAACAATGGAATAGAATGAAAACCCATAACTTGATCCAACTACATCTGGACATTTAGTATAGGATAAAAGTTTCATCTAAAATTACTGGCTCAGAGATGGACATTTCGATGAATGGTGTTGGGCCAATAGGATAACCATTTGGGGAAAGGTAAAATTACGTCCACATAATACATGAGAACAATCTCCAAATGGGCTGGGTATCTAAATATAAAAAATAAAACCATATTAGTCCTAGAAGAAAACATGGGTGAATTCATTTTTAACCTAAATATAAGGAAATATTTTCTGTGATTCAAAATTCAGAAGCAATAAGAGAAAATATTGAAAAACTTGACCACAAATTTGCATAGTAAAAAAATGCAGTAAAGTAAAAAGACAACTTACATACTGGGAGAAAATATTTGCAGCATTTACTACAGATAAAAGGCTAGTATCACCAATATATAAAGAACTCTTAAAATTTGAGGGACAAGGGATAAGAAACCTGATAGAGAATGGGAAAAAGACATGTAAGATAATTCACAAAAGATATGTAAATGGCCCCCAAAGTTTGGAAATTAAAGTTTAAATGTACTTATAAAGAAATTCAAATTAAGCCGAAACCGGTTTGGCTCAGTGGATAGAGCGTCAGCCTGCGGACTGAGAGGTCCCAGGTTCGATTCCGGTCAAGGGCATGTACCTGGGTTGCGGGCACATCCCCAGTGGGGGATGTGCAGGAGGCAGCTGATCGATGTTTCTCTCTCATCGATGTTTCTAACTCTCTATCTCTCTCCCTTCCTCTCTGTAAAATTAAAACAAAATGGAGATTCTATTTCTTTCCTATAAAATTGAAAAACACCTTCATACATTGTCAGTGGGACAAAGTGGTACAACCCTTCTGAAGGGAAATTTAACAATACCTAACACAGCTGCTATGCACTTACCTATTGCCTTCGCAGTTTCACCTTAGGAATCTACCCTAATGATACACCACTATCTACTCTAAAGATACAGCACTATGAAAATACATGTGCATAAGGTTATTCATGGTTGCATTGTTTATACTTGCAGAATATTGCTCATACGTAGAATGGTTGAATAATGATGGTAGAGCCACATAATGGAGTCTATGTAGCTGTTTAAAAAATGAGGCAGATCTTTATGAATTTATATGGAGTGATTACCAGGATACATTTTAAATGAAAAAAACACACAACAAATTAAAAATGTATAGTATGCTGCCATTCTTGTAAGAAAGGCATGAGAAAATATACATATATCTGTTCACTGTGTAAAAGAAATACAGGAAGGATTAAACAAGAAGTTAAAGAGATTGGTTATCTACAAGAGTGAGTGGGAATTGGGTAGAAAGAAAAACAACCAGGATGTGGGGGGAACCGAAAGTGGAATATGAGCAGTAACAAATTACCCTAACTGTGATATAAATAGACTAGAGGCCTGGTGCACAAATTCATGCATGAGGGGTAGGGGGAGTAGTGGACCGCAGGAGGTTGGCCAGCCACAGGAGGTTGGCTGTGGGAGTGCACTGACACCAGAGGGCAGCTCCTGCATTGAGGATCTGCCCCCTGGTGGTCAGTGGGTGTCATAGCCCCCTGGTGGTCAGTGGGTGTCATAGTGGTCGTTCCGGTTGTTTGGTCATGTTTGCTTAGGCTTATACTATATATAGATAACATAACCGTACTGAAGGGTGGGGTAGGAAAGAACTAATTTAAGTAACTTTGGAAAGTAGTATTTGTGTATTTTAGAGCTAAAGAGAGAACTAATTATACAAATTTTGTACTGTAGTGAGTATATTTGTTTATCACAGGCATGTGAGTTAGTCATTCTGAAACTACATGTACACAGGTCTGAACTAATAACTACATATTGTGAATAACGAGAGTCAGGTTTCTCAATGTCTTAGAAAAAATATTCAGATCTTTTTTCAAATATTTACATGGTTTTGGGTTAGAATAGGAGGTATTGGTAGGAATTTATGATCCTATATAATAAAAGGGTAACATGCAAATAGACCGAAAAGCAGAACAATTGAACAACCAATCAAAGTGTAATATGCTAATGATATGCTAAGGCTGCTCAACCGCTCGCTATGATGCACTGACCACCAGGGGGCAAACAGTCGACTGGTCGACTAGTTTCAATATAATATTATATACATATGTATTTATATTTGGGGCATCCCAAAAAATGTATATACACTTTAACAGCTGATAGCTCAATTTTCTAAATGAAATGTATTTTAATAAACATTGCCTTTATAATTATTCAAAGTGTGTGTATTTTTTGGGACATCCTATGTATCTATAGCTATCTGTATGCATAAATATAGATATGTGCATGTGTATGTACACATACATTTATTTAATTCCTAACTCTGTCATCTGGGAGGGCCTAGAAGCAATGACAACCCAGAAGCAGTGAGGACCTATAGCACCCAGATATTGGTTTCTAAATACAGTTGACCCTTGAAAAATGTGGGGTTAGGGTACTGATCCCCATGCATTCAAAAATCTGCTGTGTAGTTCCTGGCTGTAAAAATCAGCAGGGCCTGTAACTGAGTGAGATGGAGGGCTGTGAGTTCCAGGCATTCCTCTTAAATGGCCCACACATGGACTTACTTGGACTTACTCCCTCTGAGCTCCAGTGCTGGGGCAGCAGCTTGAAAGGCACCAGGGACCTATGGGGAGGAACTGAATTGTCTGGCATCAGGGTGAGAGCTGGAGGGGCAGCTTTCTCACAGACAGAAGTGCTGGCAGAGGCTGTTGTTCCTTTGATGAACCTACCCTCAACAGAGTCAGCAGGCACCATATCTGAGTCTCCATTAACTTGGCTCACACTGTTCTCTTCACCCTGGTGATTCTCTGAGACCCTGCCCCACTCAATTTGCAGGCCCACCCATACTGTTTCCAGTGGCTTTCACATATAAATGGCCTTTCTTGGCTCATGCTTCAGACTTTCCTAAAATCTCTCAAACAAGCAGCATCTGCCCCATACCTCATGCTAAGGCAGCCAGCCTTGGTTCTAAGCTTTGCCTATCTGGGGCACTTCCAAGCCCAGCACAAGTAGCAGCCATCTGCAGATCACTTTGTAGCTCATGTTGGGTGGCCCTGAGCAGAACACAGGTGGTGGCTGACCTTGGCCTGCACCTCCAGGGAGGCCCCAGAACCAGTGCACCCAGAGGACAGCTTCATACTACCACATTGAAACACCACCCAACCACCTCCACAGGCAACACACTCAAGAGGCAGACTCAGTGAGGCGTCAGAGTCCCACTGAAGTACGTGCTGCTCTGTGGGGTGGGCCACTACACAGCTGATCCTCCACAGTGGGGGAGGGTACACATTGAGTGCCCAGCTCTGGTGAATGGGGAGGCTTTGCTACTGGACCCTACAGAACATCTACTACATAAGACCACTCTACCAAGCCTGGGAGATGTAGCAGCTCTACCTAATACATAGAAATAAACCCAGGAGGTTGCCAAAATGAGGAGACAGAGAAGTATGTCCCAAATGAAAGAACAAAACAAAATTCCAGAAAAAGAACTAAACAAAATGGAAACAAGCAATCTACTAAATGCAGAGTTCAAAACACTGGTTATAAGGCTGCTCAATGAACTAAGTGAGAACTTCAACAGCTTACAAAAGGTCATGGAAACCAGAAAAAATAACCAGCCAGATATGAAGGCTACACTAACTGAAATGAAGAATAATTTATAGATAATCAACAGTAGAGTAGACAAAACTGAAAATTAAATCAGTGATTTGGAATAAAAGGAAGCAAAAAACACCCAATCAGAACAGCAGAAAGAAAAAAAGAATTCAAGAATATGAAGATATGTAAGGAGCCTCTGGGACAACTTCAAGTGTGCCAACATTTGCATCATGCACGTGCCAG